TAAATGTAGTTTCATCTTGGAATTGTTTTGGATAATATTTTGAACATTTTCCTTTTTTCATACATGGGCTTTTTTCATTTTTTTCTCCACATGGTCCATGCATCATATGTTCAGATACTAAGACATATGCTAAAGGATCTTCTTTTGGTTCTGGTATTTCAGCAGATATCCACAGATCTATTGTTTCAGGTGTAACTTGATTATTGGATTTATCTATCCATGTTAAGATATGGACATGTGGTAAACCCCTTTTCTGAAACTCTATAGAGTATAAAATTGCTACTACTGGACCAAATATTGTAGCTGATCGTATATCTTCTAGTAGTTGTTGCAGTTTCATATGAAAGACACGTATTATAATATCTGGTCTATCATTAGCGTATTGATGTTCTAAGAGAGCTACACTGATTTCAGGCCACTTAGGGTTGCATGTAAATGTTATAAATAGATCAGGAGGTCCATACACACGGGATATTGCAATTCCATCATGATAATTTTGGATCATGTAACGTCTTGACCCAGTATGACTTGATGGTAAAAATACTCTTTTGCCTATTTGGTCGCTGCTGGTTAGTCCTTTTTCTACTGCATCATATATACCTTGTAAATATTCAACTCTTAATTTATCTTGATTTTTAGCAATATACATTAATCTATCTTCGTCTTCCATTGCACGTGCATCTACTATTGCTTGTTTTGATAGTCTGCCATAGCATAGGAATGGATTTGGTTGGTTAGATCTGAAATGCATATGATATTTGTAGTACTCATGTATTGTAACACTTGATCTTTTTCTCTTTTTTCTTTGATTTCCATGCTGATTTTGGTAAGGTATACCTAGTTGGAATCCTCTTTCCCCGTATGGAAATAGCAAGGGGTATTGTAATGCCATATAGGCAGGATGATAAATAGAGATACGTTGAAGGCCTTTGTGTGTACTGTTGATTATAATATCTCTTTTATAATTTTCTAATGATAGGTCACCGACTATAAGCATAGCTAATTCTTCAGTGTGTGGCATTTCATATTGAATTGGATCACCTTTTTTAGCACCGACAATCCGTACGCTGATATCTATACCTTTGTACTGTTCAAGTAAATCACGTGCTTGTAGAAATTTTTTAACTAATGGATTGTATTGATCAAGCATATTTTTAAGCTCTTGAACTATATATGGATTGATATCATTATCATCAGGATCTTCTCTAGTTATTGCTTCGATTCTATTTTGGATTTCATTTTGTGTGTCAAAAATATATAACTCTGCAAATTTCGGCCTAGTATTGTCTGTTTACGGTAGTAGTGAACCAATACGATGGTGTATCTGGCCATTTATACGAAATACATATGGACCTTCACCTTTGTTTATAGTTTTGTCAATATTGTCACCCATAGAAGTAAAAGCAAACATACTGTTATATTGTCTTATCTTTTGATAAAAATGATTAGATAGATTATTTCCTCTATGGTGAATGAACATGGAAAGGAATTGAGGTGGTTCATTATATCGTGGTATTTTGATCTCTCCATATTTGCAGCAATTAGAATATAGAATCTGTTTCTTTTTTGTTGAGTCTGTCTTATTTCTTTCATCATACCAGAACATAGCATCACAATATTTACACGTGTAGTTTGGTGCACCATGATATGATCGTTCTATATATGATTGTTTTAGATGTTGTATATATTCTGGTTGTAAATGATACCATTCCGTGTGAAGAGTATAAATATGGATGTGCAGCCTCAATATGTAGGCATTGCTTTTTAATTAATTTTTCTCTGTTTGAGTTATGTTCTGGTTCTAGTTTACGCTTTTTTTTTTTCGCATAGCTTTCCGTATCTTGATTGTCTTGCATTCTTACTATTAGATGGATTATTTATAGTTTCTAGTGGTTGTTGCTTTCTCTTTGTTGAACCATATTTACACATATATGTATACGAAAGTATCTACATGTATAGTGAACAACTATATAGAAAATACCTATAGCCAGAATTAGTCAGATCAACCAAAGGAAGGAAACAAATAAGAGTGCAGAAGATGTACGTTATCTACCTTTGATTTGTGCCTTTGATTTGTAGGTGCGATTCTTCCGTGGTCTCCTTGAGGAATGATTAGGGTTGATGGAGTACAGGAGCGTTGAGAAGTACAGAGCAAGTGCGTTGGCTTGTGATAGCGATGCCACGCTCACCGCTTTTTTTTCTGGTATTTATAAAAGAGACCCAGAGATGAATCTGGAAGCCAGATGCGCTGGCTTGTGATAGCGATGCCACGCCGCCGTTTTTTTTCCCCGGTATTAAAAAAAGAGACCCACCGATGAATCTAGAAGCAGATGGTTGCACGCGACCTGTCCTCGCCCACGTGACCACCTCGATGAATCCGAAACAACCTGTCCACGTGACACGGTGACATGATTCGCACGATTCAACGGCCGATGAAACCTGCCTATCGGATCAGACGGCCGAGAGATATGAGGTGACGTGGCCCTATTAGAATCCTCTCTTTTGGAAGCAAGATTCATATTAAGAGACTAGAAACTGTGGCGCGGCGTTGCCGCGCCTACGCTGGATCAGGCCAGTGTGCAATTACTGTTCATAATGTTAATAGTGGTTAATATTTTCTGCAGTATTGCCACGGTAGATTTTAATTTTGCTAGTTCACTCTAATAAAGCAAGAAGTGCGATGAGATAGTGTTATTGATTTTAGTGAAGACAGTGGTATTAGATTTTTAATTTTGCTAGTTCACTCTAATTCAGGTGAGTAGCATGCTTGGTTTTGCTTACCTTGATAATACTTGCCTAGCTTTAATAAGTACTAAAATATGGTCAAAATCGTTGCCTTGGGTTTGGGGTACAGCCTCTTTTGCAGCTTCTATGGTCATATCGGGTAAGCAATACAATTTACTGCTATGGAATGGATACAAGAGAATTGTTATATGGATGTGGTTAGTTACATTTAAGCACGGTGTCATAATAGTAATCAAATCAATATATATATTGGGATCTACATTCTTGGTAATAGGACTGCATATAGTACTGTAAGCAAACAACTTCTTTAAGTTGGGGAAGGTGAAAAGTACAGTGACTACTAATTTTAGTACTTGTTACTACTGTTTTCTTTTTTTTATAAGGTAGCTAATGAGCTACTTTGCTTTTAATTAGATAATTGCAACTGAACACCTCAAAATATTATTGCAGCCCTTGATTGATATTATTGTACATGTACATACATACATACAACAGGGACAACTCTGAACATAGCAAATGAAAAAATAAATTAAGTTAGTACTAAAATACCCCTTAATAGGTTGTAGTGGCACCGGCGCCCTTTGCTGTCTTCCAATCTTACTCTTTTCTCTCTGTAAAATATAGCAGTATCACACAGTATGCTTTCTTCTTCAAAGGGAATGCAACAGCTGCAGAGAGGCAGAGGCTTAAGTCACTGTAGACAACAATTATTATAGAGATTTTAATTGTGGCCTCTATCCTGGTTTAGATGCCATTTGGTAGGCTTATATAGGCATTCCATTTTTCATTTATGAAGTAATGTGATTTTCTTTATTACTATAGGATAACAAAAGTTCAGCCTGTTGACCAAAATGCTCAAAATTCATTTGCTTAATCATTTCATACACCCATCCAAGCATCTACACTCTTTCCAGAGCTCATTCAAAGCTCCCACAAATTAGCTTCAAGGTTCTATCGTAGCAATCCTAGGCCAGTTGTGAAGGTCTGTGCTATTTTAAAGTTTTAAACTTTTAATATGCAACATCTTGGAGGGCGCAAATTTCATATACTACTGCAGTAATCCTCGTACAATATCTGCCTTCTCTACAATAAAGGAATTTATGTTGTGCAAGCCAGGGCCCACCTATATATCCCAAGACATAATTTTTTTCAGAATTTCCTATTGGTAACAGGATTTTTTTTGTTTGCCTGCTGCCTGAAACAATGGTCACAAATTTGATCTTATTGAAGGCCTAACTAAAAATCTGTAACATGCTTATATGGCTACTTGACCAATGTCTAAGATAAACTGACCTATCTGTTCTTGTAAAAGTTAGGGCAACCTAAGGAAGTTACTGATATTGATTCATGAAGGGAAATTATATATTTTATAAACGGAGATCTCAAAATGGGATACTATACATATAGGAAAGCTCTTAATTGAATATCACGTGCTTTATTGGATCCTAGCCTCCCAGCAATCGACGGAGAAGGCCGATAGTGCGTAGCAGGCATGAAAGCCCAAAGCCTAGAATAACAATAGTAAACCCATAAATTTTTTTGGGGGAAATCAGAGAGGCAGAGTGCTTTGTAAAATTAATTTTTACTATCAAAATATAGGTCCAATATTAGCTTGAATTGACCGATATCGTAGAAATACCTTTCCTGACTTGTCATTCATTACTGAATACAGAATATGAATGAGATAACATGCACCAACCATTTGAATCTGATACAACTCTGGGAGGTTCAAGCTGGTATAAATGGGAAAATAAATATGCCCAAAAAACAGTAAGTGATGGATACATTATAGGTACTGCTAGAAAATGGTGAAGCTAATATATTTCTACTATTAATAAATCATTCTGGGCTTGAATCCAAAATGAACTGGAGAAGCTTACCTTCATGAGAGAAGAGCCACCATTAGCTAAAAGAATGAGAAGAGCCACAGTGACGCAAGTACATACATTTATGGAAGTAACATGAAGGTAATAAGGTGCTAGAAAATCCGTATGGTAATAATTGGATACTGACTAACATGAACATGAGAGAAGAGCCACCATTAGCCAAAAAAATGAGAAGATACGGACTAACATGAAGGGCTTCCAATTTTTGTAACCCATAATCAAAGATGCTTAGGCTCTATCTTGTTTCAAATTAGAAAATTATGCGAAGAACTTACAGTTATGCAAAACTCCGCAGCGAGACCTGGGTGAACACAGCGAAATGGGTAGTAGGAGCAGGTGGCTGCTTAACTTTAAAATGTTTTTACCGGCTCAATCATGCATCTGTAAAATAACATCGGCAAAAATGTTACAATATGTTTTGTATTCAGTGTGCACACACAGTAGCCTGAAGTTGGAAGTTCTCAGGCATATAAATTTAGGTTTGGTGGGCACAGGCAGACATGTGCAATGAACTGTAAAGAAATAAGGAAACAAGTGTGTGGAACATATTTTTGGGGCAACATTTAAAGAATCCCAGTATGCAGCTTGCAAAGAATAACAATGACGGTTAGGTAATATATGACAATGTTTCCATCCAAAATGAAGACACCATGGCCTAAATCCGATGGAATGTATAAATCAAATTAAAATGATGTACCTTGTTGGTATAAAGAGGATCAGAAGTCCCTGAAATTGTTGGATTGGAAAATGTATCCGTATTTGATGCTGCTATGAACTTGAGCCACAGATAAACCATTATGTCCAGTTTCCTTAGCCTGTGAATCATATAAGATGGGGCCAAAAACAGCATAACATAAATCTGGTCATAACTTGAAGCATCAGCTGCGAACTACTGCAAAATAAGGCCAAGTAGGAACATTTACATGACGAAGCACAGAAAGGAATTTGGGGTGCTGCAGCTGTATACCTTCCTCTCGTCTGCAGGATAACAGAAAGCAGCCTGTCCATCATGAAGCATACCAAAGATGTCTGCATCTTCCCTCAATTGGAAGCAGCTGCTCTTGATTCCCCATGCCATCTGTCAGTGAACATGCGGCATCCTCCCTTTCACTTTGACGATCCTATCCAGTTCATCTCACATTGAATGAACCTAATCAATACGTGAGAAATGTCTGTCTCGCACACACGTAGAGAGAGAGCATGGAGACTATACCTTCATTGGATGATGCTGGATGCAGAGGACATGAGGATGGGGCTGGGCAGAGCACGGAGGGAGGACCAGACGCCTGGATGCTTGGGGCGACGAACAGGAGGTGAGGGCGAAGACGGAGGTCCGAGGAAAGGAGAGACGGCACTACCTGGAGCTGCTGACGCCGGAGGCCTCGCGCGCACCAGAAGAGGTATGCTTGCGATGCTATTGGCTTCGCCGGGATGGTGGTGGTAGAGGTGATGCTGAGGAAGGCGGCGAAAGACACAGGCAGCGAACGGGAAGAAACAGGCGGTGTGCTGGAGCAAATAGGGAGGGAAGAAGGAGATCGCTCGCCTGTAGCGGAGCCAAGAAGAGCAACAGTGGCGTGATGGGAATCGACGGCCGCAGCCCCCCGCTGCTACCTCAAGTTCGCTCGACGTTGTAGCCGCGACGGCGTTGGAGTCCACTCCGCCCGAGCGCCGCGGCGCCGGGGGAGCAGCCGCTCGCGCCGGTGGAGCCGCCGTGCGCCGAGGGCCCATCGAGCCGCGCCCTTGCCGGGGAGCAGCCGCGCCGGGGCCACCTCGCCGCCGCGCCGGTGGCCGAGGGCACCTCGCCCTGCCATGGCTGGGGGCCAGGGCCACGGCGCGCCGCGCCAGGGGGCGGGTCTGCCCCGCCATGGTGGGGGGCCAGTGCCACCTCGCCCAACTGCGCCCCGCCATAGCTGCCTCGCCGCCGCCGTGACAGAGAGAGAGGGCCTGGATTGCGGGTTGATTTCGGTAAAGTTCGAGGGTTTTTTTGCAAAAAAAACCTGAGAGGAGGCCTAGACTGCGGGTTGATTCGACTAAAGTTTAAGGGTTTTTTTGCAAACAAAAACCACGCCTCGCACGCTCTGGGCCGTTCACGCGCTCGATCCGACGGCTGGGAACGGCTGGCGACGTGGCCACGCTCGCCGTCCATCTTTTGGGCGCAGGTTTCATATGTAAAGATGTATATCTATCTATTCACTAATATAAGAGAGCAAAAGATTTCTTTACACTTCATCGCTTAGAACCATCCAATGAGGTAAGATGGACTCAGTCTCTATCGTGTGGGAATCATATCCAAACATAATGCAAAGTTTGATTTCAAAATAAATTGGAATACGGAGTGTTTTCACGGTTCTCAAATTTTTCATGCCCATACGAGTTAAGTGTTAAGACATTGTGCGGAATTTGATCCTAAAACAAATTCAACATATTACGCGGTCATTGATAAATCTCTAAACCTCTTATACCTATACGAGTTAGAGCAACACGACTTTAGGTACAATATGAAGTTTGATTCCTAGGCAAATTGAAATGCATGATGTGATTGCTAAATAATCTTCAAACCATAAGTTGTCTACGCAACAAGTTGAACGTCCTATACAATGTACAAACATATTTCTACACTAGCAAATATGCTTGTGCGTGCAACAAAACACGTAACTTGTGTCATCTATTTCAATATGTTATATGTGTTTATGCATGGTGACTAAAAATGCATGAATATGGGACATGAGTTCAGATCACGGATGGAAAAGTAAATCCATTATAACTTTTATCTCTAATTCATCATGTACTGTATCATTCATACTAAAACTGGTCAAGATTTGAGGGAATGAATGGATAGACGATTCAGAGAGTATCAAGGGTGGAAATATGAACATATAAATTTTTAGAAATAGATAGATAGATACTCCCTCAATCCAGAAAGAAATGCAATTCTAGTATAGTGTCAGGTTTTAAAACCTTAAGTTAAAAATATTAATATTTATGATATCAAATAAATATCATTAAATTAATTATGAAATATATTTTTATAATAAATTAATTTGGAGTCATAAATGCAAATAGTATTTACTAAAAATTTAATAAAACATGAATTACTTTTGCCGACGTACAACCTGTAATTGTATTATTTTGTACCACGAGCAGATGAGACGGAGATGGAGATGGAGACGAAAACGAACCGAGTCAAGCAGCCAAGGCCGGCCCAACGGCAACAAAAACTGGAGAGAAGAAATCAGAAAAACGGCCTAGCCCTAGCCTAGCAAAAAAATAAGAAAAAAAACCTAGCAAAATAAATCTTTAACAAACTTCCAAATCCTCCTTGGAACAGTAAAAAACCAAACCCCCAAGCACAAACCCACTCTCATCCGGTCATCCCATCCATCCCAGAGCGGCGGCTTCCGATCTCTTCTCTTCCCTCTCCCAGCCGGAAAGATCCCGGCTTTCTTGGTTCCACGGCGAGGGTTAGGCCCCGAGAAGGAGGAGGGGCCTCCCGGCGGCGGCCTTGCGGTCGATGCGATCGGTTGACGCGGCGGGGGCGGAGAGCTCGGATCACCACAACCGCAAGAAGCCTCGCCTGGAGCCCAGGACCAAGATGCCGCTCGCGGACGCCGTTGCGGCCGGTGACAGCGGCCGGGGTGTGGACTCCGCGGCGGCGGGCGCCGACTGCTTTGGCATGACGGTCGAGGAGATCGTGCAGCACCCGCTGCCGGGCTACGGGGCGCCCTCGGTGCTCAGCTTCAGCCCCGACGACCGCCGGGTCGCCTACCTGTACAGCCCCGACGGCACGCTCCACCGGAAGGTGTTCACCTTCGACACCGCGCAGCGCTGCCAGGAGCTGCTCTTCGGGCCCCCCGACGGTGGCGGGCTCGAGGAGGGGAACCTCTCCGCCGAGGAGCGCCTGCGGCGCGAGCGCGCACGGGAGCGCGGCCTCGGGGTCACTCGCTACGAGTGGCGCGCTCGCCATTCCGGCGAATCCTCCTCTCGCGCCGGCATTGTCGTGCCGCTCCCATCTGGGGTAACTAAATTAAAGTTCTCCTTCGTGTCAATTTACTGGAACAAATCTGCTTGATCGATTGCAATATGTTTGCACTAGACTACTTGATTGTGTATTCGTTGTTTGCAATAGAAAATTGGTTTTGGACATCCATTGGATTGAGCAGGTTAAAATTAATTATACTTTACTAGTTCAATGGAGGGGATTATGATGTGGCAAGATGCTTTTCAAGATGATAGTTGAACTTTCATCACAAATCACACTTTGATATACACTTAGGTTCAAAGCTCTCTCTTTTTTTCTGTGTTGATTTAACAGAAGCTTGCAGTTGGTTTCGTTGAGCAGATTTAGCACATGGGACTATGGGAGCATGTACCATTTATATTCCCATGTTTTCAGAAAATGAAGTTTAACAGGGCATACTGTAACACAAAATCTGAACCCTTTGAAAAATTCTATATGATGTTGTAGACTTAAATTCATTTGGAATTTAAATTGCTCAGTACATTTTGAGTTAAGGTATGTCTAAACTGTCACAATGTAAATATTAAACTATCATTATAGTTTATGATAATAACCACATTCACTTTCTTTGGTTAATCTTTCCTGAGCACCCATGTTGTTATTAATTCAGTTTTTTATGCAATACTTTCCTTAGTTATATGTGGTAAGTCTGCTGATGCTATTAACTATTTCTTTTCTTGTTTTAGGAAAGCCAAATTTGGAATATGTGTTGTTTGTTTTCATCTGTGGTTAGTTTAGTGTTGATGTGCTTGTTTCCAGGAAATTATGATGCTGAAACTGTGTTAGCTATTTCTGAAAATCAGGTAGATATGCTGTTTCATCAGAGTAATATTTGACTGTACTTTCTACATCAACAGGTTTACTTCCAGGATTTATCTGGCTCCGAACCAGTGCTGAAACTACAAAGTTCTCCCACATCTCCGATAATTGACCCATATCTATCTCCAAATGGGAGCATGATTGCATACGTTAGGGATGACGAGCTGCATACCTTGGGGTTTTCCAGTGGAGAAACTAGGCCATTAACTTTCGGTGCAAGAGAAAGTAGGAAGGTAACTCCTTACAATATCATAATAGAACAACGTTATTAAATATCTAGTGTTAGCCAGCATTTTGCAAAATAACATATCGTGTTGACTTCTTAGAAGCATCAGAGTGCTTTCTTAGCATGTCCAATGTGACTGTGCTTCAAACTGCAATTTTATTTTGATATTCATCGTAACATGCATAATGCATTGTGTCAATCTCTAGGTATTTTGGAATTAAACCATCCAGCAAACTGTGGTATTGGTGCTGACTATCACAGGTCTATTTGATCCTGTTTAATCTTAGTTAGCCATTGAGATAAGCTTAATCTGAAACCAGAGAGCTGGTCTTTTTTCTTATAGCTTTAGCTTTCCGTTCACAGGAAAGCTGAACCTAGCGCGCACGCATGTGTCTTTTGTCTTGTAGTCCTTAGATAAGTTTTGAAGATTTTACAAGGACACAACAGCCTTCGAGGGTATTCTAGGTTTTTAGGAGCTTCCTTGTAACCAGTATGTAATGAATGAATAAGTTATTGTATATGATATAAGCTGCTAAATAGGCCTATATCATCCTTCCACAATAATGTATTTTCTTTATTAAACATACCTATCCTATGCAACATGCATGTTCTTATGCTAGTCCATTCCTATAACTGCTAAAACAACAGATGTGTTGTTTATTTTAGTTGTCGGTGGTATATAAAGGTTCATGTTATATGTTATTGTTCTTGCTGCTTTAGAAGTTGACATCTTTGTTTTTTTTAATCTTTTCAGGTCCACGGGCTTGCCGAGTATATTGCACAGGTGCCCATGATGATCCATCAGCATTTGTTTCAAAATTGTGTTGGCTAGTAGCTAATATTTGCATTTATCTCATGTTAGGAAGAGATGGAAAGGAAGATGGGATTTTGGTGGTCTCCTGACAGCAAGCACCTTGCGTTTACTGAAGTGGATTCAACTGAGATTCCATTGTATAGAATTATGCATCAGGGCAAAAGTTCTGTTGGTCCAGATGCTCAAGAAGACCATGCGTACCCTTTTGCAGGAGCAGCTAATGTTAAAGTGCGACTTGGTGTTGTTCCTTCCCATGGAGGGGAAGTAACTTGGATGGATCTCCTTTGTGGAGATCCAAATGGTTCCCACAGTGACGAAGAATATTTAGCTAGAGTCAACTGGATGCATAATAGTGCTCTTGCTGTTCAAGTTCTCAACCGATCTCATATGAAACTTAAATTACTGAAGTTTGATATTACTACAGGTAAAAGAGAAGTCTTACTAGAAGAGCAGCATGATATATGGATCACATTGCATGATTGCTTCACTCCACTAGACAAAGGAGTGAATAGTAAACATCCAGGTGGCTTTATATGGGCCAGTGAAAAAACAGGATTCAGGCACTTATATGTTCATGGCAATGATGGAGCATGCTTAGGACCTCTCACACAAGGTGATTGGATGGTTGAGCACATTGCTGGTGTCAATGAGAGTAATGGACTTATATATTTCACTGGCACGTTGGATGGACCATTGGAGACAAATCTCTACCACACTAATCTCTTTCCAGATTGGAGCCTTTCCTTGCAAACCCCTAAAAGGCTGACTTGTGGAACTGGCCGGCATTCAGTAATTCTCGATCATCAGTTGCTGAAGTTTATTGATGTGTACGACACAATAAAATCTCCACCTGTGATCTTGCTGTGCTCTTTGCTTGATGGAAGTGTAATTATGCCCCTGTTTGAGCAGCCATTGACAGTTCCGCCACTTAAAAAGTTCCAGCAGCTGTCTCCAGAGATAGTTGAAATTACAGCAAAGGATGGGACCAA